TTTACCCTCTTCTTTTGTTGCTTTAGTTAACATCCATGTAGCATAAACATGACAGTAACTGGGCATCTCTTATCGAGAAATGTCTATTCCAGGTGTCCAGCGAGAGAGTAAGATTTAACATCGAAGAAAGTTTTGGTTTGCAAAGGAAGTGTTACATTCATCAGGTAGTTCTGGATGGTCTCGAGCTTTTTAAGTTGCAAAAACAGAAGGATGGCTCTCTCTGTCCAGAAAGCTTGAAGATCATGCACTGTACAATCAGCAAATTAAGCAATGGAGCACTTGAGTCAGTGGCTAATATTGTCGCCCACAATGGGATTAGTTTCAGGAAGATTAGGCCTACAATGATGAAAATCGTGAAGGACCACCTTCCAAAATACTTGGCTGAGTTGGACAGTGAAAGTGGTATGCAGTTGTCTGAAATTTTAACAAATCCATGCAGCTACCATTCTAATTCTGTCCGTCTTAGAACACCTGTTTCACCAATGCTTCTGTCATCTATTGACCAAGCTTTAGCTGGGCTGGATGAAATTCCCCAGCTAGCTGTTATTGCAATCAATAGAAAGCTCACAGGAAAATCATGCCCCCCAGAATTTCTGCATGTAACTCGAACTTCCAGCAGAAGCTATCTTATTAATTTGCTAAGGAAAAGGTGTGGAAATATGATAGCAAAGCTGCAGGAAGGCAGTGATCTTCCAGTGAACTTTGCAAAAGCATTGTCAGTGATGAACCTGTATCGAAAACTAACACTAAAGAGCATGGATATTTCACATTCAGAGTTCTTTCTGTTTCCACGTGCGACTATATCATCGCAGCAAGATATCCTGAATGCTCTATGGTCACTTCCAAACGTCGATACTGATGATATGAAGTTGCTGCGTCCCATTATGGGTCAAGGTTCTCAAGTTAAGATGGCATCATTCAGAGCAGCTGTGAGGAAGTACTTGACAGAATGCTTGTTTGAGTGTGATGATGGTAATTTACCAGATTTGGCAGTACGTGCCATTGGTTTCTTAGCTCGAATGTCTCCTAAATATCAACAGGCTATTCTCACAGAAGACAGAAAGGAAGTGGAAGTAGATGCTGTCTTGGATTTAAGCAGTTGCCTCAGATCTTTAGCACGCGGTGCCACTGAAGAAAACTCAAGCGATGACGAAGTTAGCTTAGAGAGTGACAGGTGCAGTGAAGATAATGATTTTGTACTCACCGCGAGCAACTACTTTGATATTCGTTCTCAGCAGCACATGGATGAGGGCCGCTGTTCAAATTTCATGATCAATAGCACTGAAGATTCTGAGTACACTGCTGGTGCTGGACATTATGGAGACAGTGATGCTACTGGCAGTACGAAGGATCCTAGTTTGAAGGACAATGTGGAGATGACTAGATGCTCTGCAGAAGATCTCTCTGCATTATGTGATGACACTGCAAGTATTGCACACGAGCTTATTGGGCACATTCTTAAAAACATGTTGACTGAAGACGAGGAGATTGATGAACTTACCGATTGTTATCTTGGAGGCAGTTCTAATTCTCAAGATCCTCAAGGTACATTGTGAACCACCAGTAGAACTTTTCTATTTGTTATTTCTCTTCAGTTTTCAATCTCCGTTCAGGGTAATGATATTTGTGTGCCATAGATCCTGAAGCGAAGAACCAAAAAGGCGACATTGTGATGAATGCTGTCCAGAGTCTCTTACCTAATCTACCGAAAAGGTCTGTCTACATTTTTCATTATCTCCCTCACCCCCTCCATTGTGCACGTAAACGGTCTAATAGTATGTTAATGTGTGCAGCTCCATTGACAAAGTTAGGAGCATACTGGATGGTGCTGAGCAGTGAGGATGGTCAATACACATTTTTAGGTGTCGAACCTTGCATGGTGCTGTGAATTGGGATATTGAATGCGATGGACAATTTTACCTTATGAAGAGGGATGGGCATGTTTTGTTTTGCTGGGGGAAATGTGCATGTGGTGGACATTTTTTTGCCATATCACTGTTACACTTACATGGATCCTGTAATTAGCGATTTTCTGTGCACTCTGAGTCTCTGACATGGTTAAGACTGGTGATTTTTGAAATATACTAGACTGTTGCAAGACTGGTGGTGTTTTTCATTTTGCACTGCTCTGTTTCAAGTTTCAACTACTCTGAAAACTAGCACATATTCAAATCACATTATAGTCTGATCCACCATCAATTGTTGTCATTCTCCTTTCTGCTTTCATGAACTATACTTTCAAAAATTGTTTCCAGGATTACTGTGCAAAACATTTTTTAATTGGCATTTAGTTCAAGAGAATTGTATTAGGATTAATAAAATGCACTGTGGGTAGAACAACTAGTTAGGTGGGTGCAATGAAGTATGGAAATTTACAATCATTCGTTTTGGTCACAAAAATTGTTTATTGGGCTCAATGTGGGGCAGTTAGGCGCCAGTTGTGCTAATGTTGCTTGGTCAGCCCCCGAGGGGCATCGGCCCCCAGTACCATGGACTTTTGCAGGGCTAATATTTCATTTGGTAGTATTGCTTTTGTATGGTATTGTTGTCAGGAATCATGCCAAACATGTCAACTTGTCCAGGTAACAAATATTATGTCGAGGATGCTGTGTTGCTCGGTCTTAACCGTTACTCTGCAGACATGATGACTCAACCTATCATGGCTGTTGCTCTTCTGAACCTCTCTTCACGGTTTCCATCTATCAGAGTAAGATGTCTTTCAACTTGACCTCATATTGCTGTTGCATAACTTTCTGCGAAGTACTAGCTCAAAGCTGCAACTGTTTTTAACAACGAGCTAGTTGAATTTGTTCTTTCAGTTCTCCTGTATCCATAATGTTCCCTGTAAGTTCTGAATGTGCTGTGCGAAACCACTTTTACGAATTCTAAAATTTGTGCAATTGTATCATCTCTTATTACAAATGAACTTTGGACTCGCATGATCATTTAAATATGGAAATTTTCCTAACTTACCGAAGAAATATGTAATGATGTAATGATGTCTACACTCTGGTTATCATATGGTGATGTACCGATACCTTTGTGTATGATTTGCTCTTCTTTTAGGCATCTCTGTTAACTTCTCCACAAACTTATCACATCTTTTAGATCCTTGCAATGGTGCGTAGTTGTAACCTCAAGATACATTAGCATGTCATTTAAAGATTTAATTCATGCCTGGTAAGGCCGGCTTTCTGGGCTTTGTGGCTTTGGGCCATTCGACCGTGTCGCGGATGGCTAGGATTGCACGTAAAAATTCTGAGGTGACGGCTGTAATATTCTCAAGGGTGAGTTTTTCTGGTCATTTACCCGCAGTGCCATCCCACGTCCATGTCGGCACTGATTGCCGATTCGGCCTCGCGCGCTCGCCCTACGCTCATCACCATCCTGAGGTTTCTCAGTTCTATTGGCATGTGTAGGTTTGCGCCAATGTTATATAAGATCCATTGAACATTCTGTTTGCAAGAAACCTTTTTGTCCTCGTCTACTTACCTAGTTCCCAGCTGATATATGCTCATGTCGTGAGTGTTTGAAATTACTACTGCATTGGTTGTCCACCTATTTATGTTGTTCTGTTTAGTCTGATCCTCCAACATTCATCTTACCTGTGCTATTCTCCATGTGCAGCTTACTGCTCTGAATAATGAACTGCAAGCTCTGCAGACGGACAAGGAGATACTGAAGGCCAGTACCCAGTAGAAACAAACCAGAGGAGGAGGCAAGATGTTATTGAAGCACTCTTGTCCTTGCAGCCATGTCTTCCACCCACAACTTATCATCTTCTCAGTGAACTTCAGTTTCTGCTGCACTGATGTACGTAGTTCTGTTGGCCTGAAGTTTCTTGCATTTCTCATTCAAGGTTTAAGTCGCTATTCGTATTCGAGGAGAACAGAACTCTCAACGAAGCAAACAAAGGGCTGGTGAGTTTACTGGAGAAAGAGCAAAAACATCGGTCCGAAAGGAAGCACTCCACAAAGGTAAAAAAGGACGAGGTGCTTCCAAAATATTGCAATTCTACTGTTCCTGCAAAAACACCCTTTTGTGTGTATGCCCATCCTAAGATAATTGTTGTAACATTGAGATTGCCGCAATACGTATCCTGTGATCATTCTGCTTCTTATCCTGATGATTTAGATGTCTTCATGCATTAAACTGACCTCCTATCCTCAAAATACCAAGTGTTCTTTCCCTTTCTTTTTATATGTTGAGACAAGATCGCACCAGACCAATCTTCACTCCTAGCTAGCTTTTATGCAGATCTCTTGTGAATGAGTATATCTAAATAATTTTACCATTTTGATACTTGAATTACTGCCTGTTACTAGTGATCTAAAAGATCTTGTATTTGTTTACAGAGGGAGTACTTTCTAATCATGGTCAGCTCACTAGTATAATTTTATCGAGTTTGTTTGTTTGGTGTTAAATTCTAGCGCTATGTTTATGAAGTGTACAAGAATTATCAAAATAACATGAACTCACACAATTTCATGAAAAATACATGAACTCATGCACATGACGTTTGAATAACTAGCCATTGGCTAATATCAGTACATGATGGGTCGGTTTTAGAAGCCGAGCAGATACTCCATCTGTAAACAAATATAAGAGTGTTTAGATCACTAAAGTAGTGATCTATATGCTCTTATGTTTCTTTACGGAGGGAGTACATCTTTCGTCTCCTTTGACTAATCAATTATATCCCACTAACATTTTTCTCTTGTTTCAGCTGTTTATTCCTTTCTTCCTGGAAACTGACAACGCAAACCATTTTTCTGAATCGTATGCATGCTTGAATTCATCCAAACACACATTATTGTACACACAAGGAACCAAGGATTACATACAAGAACACAAATACATGCGTGTAAAACTACTTGAGCTTACACAGTAACCACATTTTTTTATCTCTTCACAGCTTTCTGGGTCAGTGGAAGAAGGGCCTTTTCTTTCTGCCATGATGCAAACAGGAATGGCAGTATCTTCCAGATGAGATGAGATAATCAACGCCCGCGGCAGCCGAAGATGGCTTTGCAGCCGCGGCCGGTGTAGGGCTGCCCCCGGCCGGGGCAGGAGCCGTAGCACGCCGCCTTGTTCGCCTCCAGCCCTCCGTAGCCGATGTACTGGGGGCTGTAAGCAAGCACCCTCCTCTGTGGGTACGCCGCCTCCTCCTCACGCTCCGTGAAGCCCGCCTCGTCGTCCTCGACGGTGCGCACCGGCATCGCCGCATGGGTGCCGGCGCCGGCGAGGACGCCGCGGCTCATGACCAGCGCCGCGGCGATGTAGGCCAGGAGGAGGAGGAGCTGCGTCTGCGGCTTCATTGTCCCTGCTTCAAGTGGCGCCTGCACTGTGGCCTCTGCTTCAGGTTCAAGTGGTGCTGGCGCACTGTGGCCGGCCTGTGGGGCGTGCCTATCTCTCAATAATTTGTTCTGCTGTTGCGTCTATTCCAGAGGGGAGGAGACGGAGGTGGTTGAGGGCACTCCAACAGCAACGCCATGCCTAACATTGCATGCACGTGATGCTAGGCGACACCGTAGCGTCCATGTCCGGTCTCTGGTGTGATTGCGATTGGGTTTTGTGGAGGCGAACGATGCTGGCTGTTTCACAACCACCCGGTTCATTTCAAACTTAATTTCAGCAGAAGGTTGACGGACACACAAGACTGTTTAGATAGTTTTCATGCCTTGTTAGTTTTGTCATGGCTGAGCCAAGTTATCCCAGTTACAACAATCATGCATAATAAAATTCATAAAAAAACCTAGTTACTTTTAATGAATAATCTGTTCATAAACCCACAATTCATCGGATCCTAACAAATGCACTGCAAAAAAGGATTACATCAGATATAATTTTAAGAAGATCGAGGAGAACATGGTGTTGAAGATCAAAGAGAGAAAAGAAGTCATCTAACTACTAGCTATGGACCCGTAGGTCCGTGGTAAACTATTCACGCATCATTGGAAGGCGGCAAAGACGATGTAGAAGCCCTCGGTGATTGATTTCCTCTCTGGCAGAGTACCGGAAAAGGCCTCCAGATGGGATCATGAGAAAAACATAAACTTGTGGTGGTGGAAAAAGTGTTTCGGGTGGCTCTCCGTTGGTTTGGAAATATTTGTGAATTTATAGTCTTGGAATTAGGTCAAACGGAGTTACGTGGGGCCCACGAGCTCAGGGGGCGCGCCCTGTGAGCTTGTGACTCTTTCGTAGCTCTTCTGGCCTCCTCCCGAAGCATCTAGGGTTCCTTCTGGTCCAGAAAGAATCATCGTAAAGTTTCATCGTATTTAGACTTCGTTTGGTATTGATTTTTTGAAAAGCCAAAACAAAGTAAAAAACTGGAAGACACTGGGTACTAGGTTAATAAGTTAGTCTCAAAGAATGACATAAAATAGCATATAAATGCATGTAAGCATCCAAGATTGATAATATAATAGCATGAAACAATTAAAAATTATAGATACGTTGGAGACGTATCAGTGGACAACCTATATGACAAGCAATACAAGTAACACGTGCAAGCGAGATTAAACAAGAGATATAAACTTGCACAAAGTAAAGGACTGAAATAACCGCAAGTGGAAACGAGGATGTGTTTCCAAATTTCCTCCTTTGTGGGAGGTACATCTCCGTTTGGAGGGGTGTGGAGGCTCGATGCTCCCCAAGCGTCCCAAGGACTCACCGTATTCTCCTCACGCCCCCGCACAATGCAAGGTGCCGTGAATCCACTAGCGGTGCTCTTGTAGGCAGCAACCGGAACCTTTACAAACAAGGTTGGGGATCTCTCCACAACTTAATTGGAGGATCCGGTACCACCACAGAGCTTCACCATGGAATGTGGCTCCGAGGTGACCTCTTTCGTCTAAGGTGCCCAAACACCGAAGAGTAATAAGTTCGACAAGTGAAAGTATGGGGTAATCAAATGTCCTTAGGTGAAAGTTGAAAGCACATTTTCTACCTTGGTGGTTTTGATAATTAATGTCAACATACACATTGTTGGACTAATACTTTTACCTAGTATATTTCAGACAAGTTCAATAGCGACATGGCAAGGACATGAGGATGTGGACCCCTTCAAAATGTCAAGAACAAGAATTGGCTACTCCAAGACTCTACATTTTTGGTTTAGTGATCCAAGATCACATTGAGTCCCTTAGGAAAGCCAATACTATTAAAACGAGATGAGGTATTGTTGATGAGGTTGTTGCTCAAGTGCTTAGTGATATTGCTCCAAAAAACCCTCAGTCATTTTCTCAAAACACATATGTCCAAACCCTAATTCACTATCTCGGTCCCACCGAACATATCCCATCAGGACCCATCGAGATGACCACTACCATTGCCATTGCCAAACCCTAGCAATTCGGTTTGACCGAAAAGGATCTCGGTCCCACCGAGATGGCATTGCCAAGTTTCTGTGATGACATTGTTTCACTTTGGAATCACCGAGTTGAAACAATCAGAAATTCCGAGACTGGGTTCTGCCCTAGCCATTGCACTTCGGTCCCACTGAGTTGTTCCACTTTGGTCCCACCAAAGAGCCCAACGCTCATATCTTTTACACTAATTGGTCTCACCGAGTTTTATATTTGGTCTCACTGATTTGAGCCAAAAGTGTGTAACGGTTGGATTTTGGGTGAAGGCTATTTATACCCCTCCACCCCAACTACTCTCTAAGAGAGCCATCAGAACAAAACACAACTTGTGAAGGAAATATGCCCTAGAGGCAATAATAAAGTTGTTATTTATATTTCCTCATATCATGATAAATGTTTATTATTCATGCTAGAATTGTATTAACCGGAAACTTAGTACATGTGTGAATACATAGACAAACAGAGTGTCACTAGTTTGCCTCTACTTGACTAGCTCATGGAATCGGTGATGGTTATGTTTCCTAACCATAGACATGAGTGGTCATTTGATTAACGGGATCACATCATTAGAGAATGATGTGATTGACTTGACCCATCCGTTAGCTTAGCATGATGATCGTTTAGTTTGTTGCTATTGCTTTCTCCATAACTATACATGTTCCTATGACTATGAGATCATGCAACTCCCGAATACCGGAGGAACACTTTGTGTGCTACCAAACATCACAACATAACTGGGTGATTATAAAGGTGCTCTACAGGTGTCTCCCATGGTGTTTGTTGAGTTGGCATGGATCAAGATTAGGATCTGTCACTCTGATTGTCGGAGAGGTATCTCTGGGCCCTCTCGGTAATGTACATCACTATAAGCCTTGCAAACAATGTAGTTAATGAGTTAGTTACGTGATGTAGCATTACAAAACGAGTAAAGAGACTTTCCGGTAATGAGATTGAAGTAGGTATTGAGATACCGACGATCGAATCTCGGGCAAGTAACATACCGATGACAAAGGGAACAACGTATACCGTTATGCGGTTTGACCGATAAAGATCTTCGTAGAATATGTAGGAACCAATATGAGCATCCAGGTTCCGCTATTGGTTATTGATCGGAGACATGTCTCGGTCATGTCTACATAGTTCTCGAACCCGTAGGGTCCGCACGCTTAACGTTCGGTGGCGATCGGTATTACGAGTTTATGTGGTTTGATGTACTGAAGGTAGTTCGGAGTCCCGGATTTGATCACGGACATGACAAGGAGTCTCGAAATGGTCGAGACCTAAAGATCGATATATTGGAAGCCTATGTTTGGACATCGGAATGGTTCCGGGTGAAATCGGGAGTATACCGGAGTACCGAGAGGTTACCGGAACCCCTAGGGAGGTATGTGGGCCTTATTGTGCCTTAGTGGAAGAGAGGGGAAAGAAGCAAAGGAGGGGGCGCCCCCCCAAGCCCAATCCGAATTGGGAGGGGGGTCGGCCCCCCTTTCCTTCCTTCTTCCCCCTCCTTCCTTCTCTCCTAGAACCAACAAAGGGAAGGGGGGGGGGAATCTTACTCCTTGGGGCGCGCCTAGAGAGGCCGGCCCCCTCCCCCTCCTCCACCCCTTTATATATGGGGTAGGGGGGCACCACATGCACACACAAGTTGATCATTGATCTTTAGCTGTGTGCGGTGCCCCCCTCCACCAAAATCCACCTCGGTAATATCGTAGCGGTGCTTAGGCGAAGCCCTATTCCGATAGCAACATCATCACCGTCATCACGCCGTCGTGCTGACAAAGATCTCCCTCGAAGCTCTACTGGATCGTGAGTTCGTGGGACGTCACCGAGCCGAACGTGTGCAGTGTTGGAAATATGCCCTAGAGGCAATAATAAATTAGTTATTATTATATTTCCTTGTTCATGATAATCGTTTATTATCCATGCTAGAATTGTATTGATAGGAAACTCAGATACATGTGTGGATACATAGACAACACCATGTCCCTAGTAAGCCTCTAGTTGACTAGCTCGTTGATCAATAGATGGTTACGGTTTCCTGACCATGGACATTGGATGTCATTGATAACCGGATCACATCATTAGGAGAATGATGTGATGGACAAAGACCCAATCCTAAGCCTAGCACAAGATCATGTAGTTCGTATGCTAAAGCTTTTCTAATGTCAAGTATCATTTCCTTAGACCATGAGATTGTGCAACTCCCGGATACCGTAGGAGTGCTTTGGGTGTGCCAAACGTCACAACGTAACTGGGTGGCTATAAAGGTACACTACAGGTATCTCCGAAAGTGTCTGTTGGGTTGGCACGAATCGAGACTGGGATTTGTCACTCCGTGTAAACGGAGAGGTATCTCTGGGCCCACTCAGTAGGACATCATCATAATGTGCACAATGTGATCAAGGAGTTGATCACGGGATGATGTGTTACGGAACGAGTAAAGAGACTTGCCGGTAACGAGATTGAACAAGGTATCGGGATACCGACGATCGAATCTCGGGCAAGTATCGTACCGCTAGACAAAGGGAATTGTATATGGGATTGATTAAGTCCTTGACATCGTGGTTCATCCGATGAGATCATCGTGGAACATGTGGGAGCCAACATGGGTATCCAGATCCCGTTGTTGGTTATTGACCGGAGAGTCATCTCGGTCATGTCTGCATGTCTCCCGAACCCGTAGGGTCTACACACTTAAGGTTCGGTGACGCTAGGGTTATAGAGATATTAGTATGCGGTAACCCGAAAGTTGTTCGGAGTCCCGGATGAGATCCTGGACGTCACGAGGAGTTCCGGAATGGTCCGGAGGTAAAGAATTATATATAGGAAGTGCTATTTCGGCCATCGGGACAAGTTTCGGGGTCACCGGTATTGTACCGAGACCACCGGAAGGGTCCCGGGGGTCCACCGGGTGGGGCCACCTGCCCCGGGGGGCCACATGGTCTGTAGGG